AGTAGGGCCTACTCATCTACTCAGAGAATAAATTGTTATTGAATACGTTTGGCATACTGTATGAGAGTCACTAATGTTCCTCGCCTATGAACAAATTTAATATCATAGATCTCCAATTCTTGTGTTTATTTTGTTGGAACCCAAATCTATTTAAAACATATATATTTTCCCAAAATTCAAATTGGTTTTCCTCTAAGTTAGTTTAGATAAGTGGGGGTTTATTGGATAGTTATTCTTACGTGGTTAAATTGATTGTGGAACAGAGGTAGTCCAAGCAAAACTATTAAGAAGTCTCTGCTTTAAGAGTGTTCTTAGATGGGTACATTGACTCAGCACTAAGTATACATGGGCATATATTTACTGATTATTTATGTTTTAGATTATTTTCCTACTGCCTTATTTTCCAAACAGGATGAATATTTTACATTTCAAATATCTGTATATGTATTTTATAGAAGTAACTGCTGAAAATTCTGTTGAAATTGCCTTTTACTAGCAATAGAATTAAAGATTTTAGTTACCAAGATGCACGCTGATGTGTAGGGTGATCAAATGAAATATGAACTCATAGGTGGGTGTTGAACAATGAGAACACATGGACACAGGGAGGGGAGCACTACACACTGGGGTCAGTTGGGGGGAAATAGGGGAGGGACGGGGGGGTGGGGAGCTGGGGAGAGATAGCAAGGGAGAAATGCCAGATGTAGGTGATGGGGAGAAAGGCAGCAAATCACACTGCCACGTGTGTACCTATGCAACAATTTTGCATGTTCTTCACGTGTACCCCAAAACCTAAAATGCAATAAAATAAATAAATGGGGAAAAAAAAGAAATAATGTTGATAATTGAACTATTGATGTATTTTATGTGCTTCTAGAAATGTTTCCTCCTTTCTCTTCTTTTGTCACTTCTCAATATATTTTATTCTCTCATTTTTCTATACATTTACATTTATTTTCATTGTGTTCTCAGTGATTGAACACAATGCAATAGCTTTATCTCCAGTTGCTCTCTCAATGAAGTCTTCTAAATCACTTAACTTAAAAGATGCCAGCGTATATATATTTTTAAAAGCACACATTAAGTGGAATTGATATGAAGGCAAGATCAATGAAGCAAGATTGGTCTCTGCTCCACTCTCCAGAGACTAATTTCAAAAGTAGTTGACTTTATTTGCCATGGTTGACAGCTTTTCAGACCGCTTGAATAAATTTGGGTATTAATATGCTTCCTGTCTATTTAGAAAGAATTACTATGCTGTCTGCCGCAGGAGTCTGCTTTATTTCCAGATTTCACTCAGAACAATATGATGGGTCCTAACTTTTGAGTTAGGCGTCCTGTTTACAAAACATGCCTTGATTTAATAAATATGTGTTCAATACCCTCTCTGAGCAATATGCTGCACTACACATAGCAGGATTTACAAAGATATGTAAGGAGCATCTTCTGCAAGCTTCAAAACACTTAGCCCTAAGATAGGAGAGAAGAGAGAGAAAGATGCAATGGAATTGAGTAAGATGTGCCATTTTTTTCAAAGTTACCTACAGAGAAGATAAAGTCTGAAAGTGAGTGGAGGGACAAGCTCCCATTGAGTACCTGCAGATACTGTGTGTATATCTTCATCTCCACAGTAGTGAAGCAAATGGCACAACCCACATTTTACAGATCAGACAAATCACTCCCTTCAAGTCATTCTGCCAGTTGTGTCAATATAATAGTGCCTGGCACATAGTATGTACTTCATGAATAGTTTTGAATGTTGAATGCATCTTTCAGGGAAGCAATTTTGAACATATACCAAGAGTCTAAAACATGTTTGTGTCCTCTGAACGAGCAATTTCATTTCTAATAATTACCATAGATGTAAAGATCGTGTGTATATGTGAGGCAAGAGGATGGTAAAGAGGCAGAGTGTAGAGACTGTATAGCAGGTGACCTTTAGTTGTATGGGATAAAAATGAGGAAGGTGTCTAGAATAGACTCCCAGATTTCTGGCCGGATTAAGGAACTGGGCAGATGTTGAAGTTGTTTGCCAAGCTGGGGACCCAAAGGAAAAGCAGGTGTGAAGGTAAAGATAGTGAGATGAGGTTTTTACTTACTGAACTCAAGATGACTTTGGTTCATTCTGTTGGAGTTTCTCATAAGAAAACATGGATCTGGAGCTCAGCAGCATGACCTAGTGAAAAATAAGGATTTGGTCATGGAAGTCAGGAGCTGGTTGATATTGTTCTGGAGAGAGTTTATAGAATACAAAAGAGAAGAGAGTGAGGGAAAGGACCCTAGGATTACGGTTTGAGCAATAGGATCCCAGATAGAATAAGATAAGTCAGCAGAAGATCTAAGTCAAGAGAGAAGAAATATTAAAGATTTAGGAAATGGTGAATAGAGCAAAATGATGCACTTCAAGAATTTGTAATCCAGCTGGGAAGTCATTGCACCTCAGGTGAAAAAGTCAAGCAGGAGAAGAGTTGCCCATGATTGTACTTAATTAAGTACCCAAGAAGGATAAAGATATTATTTAGGGAATTGAGGGGAGGGAAGAGATTGGAATTAACCTGAAGCTTAATAAAGGTGGTGGTACTTCATGGGGACTGAAATACGGGTAGAATTGAAACTGCAAGAGGTTATTTCAACTGAGGAAATGAAATTTGTTCAAATTCATCCTCAATGCCTGAAAATAACTGAAGGTGGATTCCCTATTGGTAGTAGTCAGCAGTGTCATCTTTGAACAGTGAAGACAGCGTCTTGTTCTCTATGAGTTATAATGACTCCTGGCTAAACAGCATCATATAAAACTGAGTGTGGTGTTACTCGACATCACGTGCAAGATTAATTTCAAGCAACAAAGCAGCATGGCTTATGTGTAGTGGGTTCATTCCAGAAACACGATGTGAAGATCATGCAGGTCAATTCCAGTGGGAAAAGGCAAGTCTTGGTTATATACCCTCTTAATTTTACAGCAGCTAATTCTAAAATCCTTTCTATTTGATGCAGCTATTCCTAGCGGTGAGGTTGCAGATTCCCTGCCCTGTCTTTTCCCAGTTCTCTGGTGGCCAAGCTGTAAATATATAGAAAGAGTCAGAAAAACAGAGATTTTCTTGTGCCCTCTCCCTACTCCTCTGCACCCTTCTCCATCTTCCTGTTCCACCTCATTGGCCTCTTCCTTTTTGAGAACACTTGACTTTCAATGTGGCATGGGTAATAACTCTTAATTTACCAAGAGGGAGTACCTTCAGGACAGAAACGGTCAGGCATTACCTTGGGAAATAACCTGTCAAAATCTATCTGTATGCTAGTCTGCCCACAGTTCTGTCCTAGTGATTGCTTCTCTGGACCATATCTGCAAAGAACAAGGTAAAGAATAAGCAAAAGTCACTGGAAAACCAGGCTCAAGTGCTATCCACATCACTTCCCTAGTGATACGGTCTTGTGCAAGCCACTTAACCTCTGCTAGTCTCAGTCTTATCAGTGGAATTGTGACAATCAGATGAGATATTTGTGAAGGTGCTTTATGATTGCAAAGTGCTACTCAAGTGTTAAGCAGCATGGGTAGGCTATTATCATACTTATGAGTATGATATGAAAGCAAAGCGGGACCAAGATTTCTCCTCCTAAATCTGTTCTGAAGACCCAGACCTTTCATTCCAACTTTGCATTCAACCAGATTTGCCTAGAACAGCATTTTCTCTGCTCCCTCTTTATCTGTGCCGATTTAACTTGGTTCATGTAGTGCTTGATTTAACTGAGTAACACTGAGTTAACCCCATTCTCCTCCCCTTAGTGCATAATCAAATCCCTTGAAATCTACCACTAAAGAAGAAAAATGGAAAAACATTTACTAAGTGTTTCCTCCAATCTAGGCACTTTCTTTGCCTGAGATCCTTTTCCACAAACCACAGACTGTTCCCACAGAGGAGAAACTAAGAAGCCTTTGTAGCTGACACCAGTGGAATTTGCATTTCTATTAAAAGCTGTCTGTGGCTAGATGTATCCTTCCCAGGTACAAAGTTAAATGATGTAATAAACTTATTCAAAGACATAAAGCCATTATATAAAATGCCATTAAATATCTTACACTCAATGTTAACAAAATACAGCTATCAATTTCCTTTGGTTGTCATTTTGCAAGTTGCTATTTCTCAGTGATTTATGCACTGGCAAGTATTTTACTATTGAATTTTGCTGCCCAATCCAGGCAAATGGCATGTCAGGAACGCATGACCCTTTGAGATGCGATGGCTTTCAACTTTCGTGGCATCATCACTCTAGGCATCACCATCTTCTGGGGCTGGTTTCTATCACTGTTTCATACCTGCTGGTTAAGTATGGTCCCGAGGCTCCGTATTTCACATACTAGAGATCAGAGGCAAGAAAGCCCAACCATCCAAGCCATGGTACAGAATTCAAGGTTAGGAGCAGACACATCTACTCTGAGCTTTGAGACTGGATCATAGCTTTTATGAAGCTGTACATTCGGGGCTGTTCTTTACTTCCTGGAAGAAGGGGTAAAATGGAGAGGAAGAGTTGGAAGGAATATAGAACATTCTATCTGGAAAAGTTCTGTGTCTTATTCACCAAAAGCACAGGTCAAGAGGAAATAACATAAGATCCAGATATGTCTCATTGAACTTGCCTAATTCTGTGAACTTGTCAGCATTTTCATTTACCTTTGCAAGCCAAGTCCTAAATCCAGACAGGCCCCATCGTTTTGAGCCTCACCAGATAGAATACTGGCAGAATGGAAATGACTGGCATGTCAGTGATGGCATTATAAAGAAGCATTTAGGATTTTCCTAGGTCCTGCATTCAGTGGGTGTTCTTGCTGCAAGTAAGCCAGTCAAACCCAATCAAAAGAAATGTCAGCTTGTTTCCTAGACACTAGATTAGCGGACTTTCTGCATGTGACCTGCCTTCCTCTTACAGGGCACTGACCCTGCAGGGGTCTGGTTACTGTGGGTCAGCTGAGCCAGCTTCTGATGCTCCTGCTCTCCTTCTTTCAGGAAACAGCATCCTCCATTCAGCCGCCGACAGCGTGACCAGCGCAGTGCAGAAGGCAAGCCAGGCCTTGAATGAGCGTGGAGAGCGATTAGGCCGAGCAGAGGAGAAGACAGAAGACCTAAAGAACAGCGCCCAGCAGTTTGCAGAAACTGCACACAAGGTGGGCCAACAGAGGGGCGGGCTTCTCAGCTCTGGGATGTTGCAGAGCTACAGTTCCAAGAAACTTTATTTCAGTGTTTTCCTGTGATGAGAGAGAGAAAATTAAGCTTTTTATTTCCCCTTTATGTAATTCCCATCTGCTACTTACTAAACACCTGAGTCATGGAAAATTTCTTCTTGTACCTGGTTTCTTTGGCTCTTTTCTGATGTCTTCGTCCCTATCTCTGAGCTTTTGACCTTGGATCTTTAGGAACTATGGACTACCTTTAGTTCCTGCCCAGAAGTTTAGAGCTCAAGTTTTGAGGCACAGAATGGGAAGTGGAGGAGAAGAGATCAGGTCTTCGAATATCCCCACCTCACTTAGCCAACACATGGAGGATGTGAGGCTTCACATGCTTACTTTTCCAGCCTGTCCCTTTCTTATCCTGAGTCTACCACTGTGTCCTTATCTCTTCACCAGACACAAAGTAAGCCCTAGTCCCAGGGCACTATGCACCTCAAGGCTAGTTTTTCCTCTGAGAGGGGTCAGTTCTTATGTCAGGACCTCAATTCTGGGACTCTGAACTTGACTGGACTAGAGCTGACCTGCCTGCCATACTCCTTGCTGCCCTGAATCCAGAGAACAGCATTTCCTGCATGACTGCGCATGCACTCTGCACATTCTCACACTCACTGAGAGCTGCGCCTTTCAGAAGGGAAAGGGGGAGTTTTTATTGGCAGCCAGCTATCTAAGGCAGCCACAAACCAAAAGAAAGAGAGGCCCTGTTGGTCAGGTGATAAAGATGATTTATTACTGTCCTTGTGCTTCAGATCAAAGGGCAGTATTTTTCTGGTTAATGGTTTGAATTTAGGCTTCCAGAAACAACATCTGCTGATGACTTGTGTTGGCATGTCAGACTTATGATCTGGCCCTTCCAATACACTTTTCAGGTGACCTTTAGGAAAAAAAAAAAAAAAAATTGGCTTTAACAGAAACCCCACTTCTGCTGAGGAAACAGGGATGGATAACCTAAAAAAGCAATGAGAAAAATATCCCCAGCTGAGCTGTGGTGACCTCTCCTGGAGGCTCATGCTCAGGTCCAGCTGGGGATCCAGCTCTGAGCCAGTGACTCCTGCCTTCTCTTCCTGCATCCCCTTTGCACAGCTGTCTTGTGGCCTCATTCATTCTCTGTCATGACAGGGTCTTACTGCACTGTTGCCTGTGGGCCCATTTGGAGTTCCTTGAAGGAGATTGACCATATCTGTCTGCAAATGCAGTCAGCCCTGCTAGAGGCCAGAGCCTCAGATTGCTGCTGTTATTGCAGACGCAAAGGGAGTGAACCCGGATTTCAGGTCTCCCTAGTTCCTTCCTCCCTTCTGCAGCCTCTGTGACACAGAGATAATGATGACATGGAAATGCTAGTTACAGCCTCAGCTTCTTTAACAACAGCAACTTCCATGATTTCAGTGGGAGACGGATAGTGGAAATCTGGGAAAACATTTAAATTGTTGAGTTGGGTAGAGAGGACTAAGGGAATAACTTTATAACAGTCTTCAGTTCTGGGAAGGGTAATATCCTTCATGTCTTCCCACACAGAATAGAGCAATCAATAGTGCACTGATAAAATTCTGCTAAAACAAGAATTTAGGTTAATGATTAAACCATGAACCAGGTTACCAAGGAAGATTGTGAAATTGCTTTTCCTAAGGTGGAGTAGACAATACCTGGATGTCATCTACGTAGGCGTCCCTCCCAGAGAGGGCTGTACAAACACTGGATTGGATAACCTAACCAGATGGCCTGAATTCTTGGCCCTGGTGGCCCTGTTTCCCTGATACTGTGGCCAAGTTTTCTAGGTAGTTGGGAAAGCAACATGGAATAGTAGTTAACATCTTGTGTTTGAATCCAGCTCTGTCTTTTACCGTCTTGGTGACCTTGGGCAAATGCTTAATTTCTCTAAGACTCAGTTTTCTCATAAGAAAAATCGAGTACTATTCTTTATGAGAATAGTATCTACCTTCTAGAGTTTTCAGAGAATTGAATGAATTCAAAGCTATTAGTACAGTATGTCGCACATATAAATCTAAATTATTTATAATTATTAAAAATTGTTTCTACTAACCCTGTCCTATTCAGTCACATAATGAGTATGACATGATAATTGCCCTATAAACTGCACACCTCAACCATACCTCGGCTTTCTGTTGAAACTGCTCTCTGTAACCCTAATGTGACAAGCAAGCAGTCCAAACCCATGCCATCTTGGCCCCTGCGACTTGTAATAAGTAACTAAGGTCTGTAATTTCCACCCTACCCAGACAATGTGTAAACTAACGTTTATCTTGACTTCTGTGAACCACTTAAGTAACAATCAGAATGTCCAAAGTCCCCTGGCCCTCGGAATGTCCGAAGCCCCTCACTCTCATCTCCACCCAGGAGGTGATTTACAGAATGTCCAAAGTCCACTGGCCCTAGGAATGTCTGAAGCCCCTCATCCCCACCCCTGTCCCTCACCCTCACTCCCAAGGTGGTTTACCAGCATAAAAGGTGTTGACACCCTCCTTTCAGGGCCACGGTTGGAGAGACATGAGTCCTCCGTGGCTGCCAGCAATAAAGACCCTGCAATTTGGCATACTTTGGTCTTGGTGTTGACGTTCTATGCTCGCTCTGTTATAACAATGAGCACTCTAAAGAGACTGGTTAATTGATACTGGTGACTGAGGATCCTCAACACAGGGACAGGAAAGAATGGAGGAGAAGATTTTGTACCTCCTACACCCAAAGGGAAAGGGGTATGGGAGGGCCTCTTGCTAAATGTTGATACTATCTCAACACAAATCAGCCCTTGAAACAGGACCTGGCAGGATAGAAACTAATGTGGCCACCAAAGGCAAAAGGGCCTCTGGCTTGACCAGCGGGAAAATTTATACTTAGCAGGCACCTGCTTTCACTCAGGAGGGATGAGGCATGGGCAGCTTGTGTTTATTTTGGTTTCTCCTCCCTTAGGTAATCTTGAGGGGAGGAGCAGGAGCTACTAGTGTCTGTTAATGTGTATGAGAGTATGAGAGCGTCATGGCCAGACTTGCAGCTGTCTGAAAGTAGGATGTGTGCCTGTGAATCACTGGCACTGGCAGTATTCCTAACAAGCAGATTGATCTCTCTAGATAAGGTGTGGCTGTTTTCCCAGGGACTAGGGCTCTTGATTTGGACCCACTAGCATAGGCTGACCACTAAAATGTCATTTTATTGGCCAAGCCACAACCAGGACTGCTGGTGAGGGGAGAGTTCAGAGATGGAACCCAGGCATTCTACCCCTAGACAAGCATGGCTCTGTTGACTCAGAAAAAGTAAGCTGTGCTTACAAGTGAGGGGCAGTACACATGGCAGAGTTCTGAGAAGAAAACGGCTGTGCCAGGTGGCAGCTCTCAAGCTCCCACTTAATAAGTTGAATTATTCTTAATTCAACTTATTCTCAAGTTGAATAAGGGCACCCAACCCCAGCTGGAGAGTTTGGTACACCTTTCTAGATTCCAGTAGAAAAGGTGTCTTTGGTCTTCTAACTTGTTCCAGGACTCCTGCAATGACCCAAGTGCAAAAGTAAATGGATCACTTTTGCACAACCCTGACTTCAAAATATGCAGGTGCTTGTCATCTACAGCACAGATAGAAAATGATCCTTCCCCCACTCTCCCCAGACTGACTCTCCCACCTCCACTCTGGTGAGCCTGGTTTCGGGAAGTGTGGTTCTTTCCTGAGCTCTGTGCTTCATGCAAAGTTAACCTGAGGAGAATGCACCGCAACCGCAGAAGCAGGCCTCCTCACTTGCCCTTGCCCAAAAAGCACAATGTTGCAGCATGTGCAGTGCTTTGACGGCCCCGCGTGGGCAGTGAGTCAGTAGACAAGAGCATTACCCACACCCAGACATCCTCAGATGACATTTCTTGCGGAAGAAAATATTGATCTGCCCTGTTTTGCACTATCCTATGCATGTCGGGGAGGAAAGGGTGTGTGGCATTTCTCTCACCGGGAGGCAATGGCTGCCTCTGTCCTTGCTACCTAATGAGTGCAGGTCTAGGTCTCAGGAGCATAGGTCTCTATCTCTCTGGTATCCATCATGATTTTATTATTATCATTATTTAGGTTGAGTAGTGTAAGGAAGAAAGAAGTTCTTCTACAAAGTTTTCATCTTAGGCTTTAAAGAATAACAGCTTCTTACTCTAAAGTCCCTATCCATTATTCTACCTGTTTGGACTTATACAGACATACCCAGACAGGCCTGGGCAAGCCACTGCCCATAATGCATGCCATTCCTTATTTGGAAACGCTTCCTTAGCCACCTCTGTGCAGCTTCCTCTTTTCTTTGTTCTATTCCCACTTACCTATTTAGGAAAGTTTTAAGTTGTTAGTCAATCAGGCAAAGCATAGAATGTGAGGTCCATTTCCAGCCAATGTAAACTGGACACAGCAGCAGGCAGACACGGCAGGTTATAAGTAATTCTGTTTCCTTTGTCTGGTGCGCTTTTGTGGTCAGACAGCCATTGAGCAACACCCTTTCTGCAGAAAGTAAAACTAGCCTTGCTGAGGGATCCTTTGTCCCTGTGTTGACTCTTTTTGTGACACCGAAAGCCGTTCCCAACAAGTGGACTATGTGCATAGCATTGAAGGAGAAATCTTTATACAAGATATTAAGAACACAAAATACATCAAAAGGAAATTTTACATTTTAACAACTCTGACACCTAAGTTTACACATTGGCATTTAGAGTCAGAGACTTTTTTATAGACATAAGAGGAGGCTGAGGTGTAGAGCAGCTGTGACTTTAGAGCTGAAGGTCATACAGCAGATTTGTAGCAGCAGGTATCCTGACCTCATTTCATGCAGTGCTCTTTCTGCTCTACCTTCCTGCCTTCCATATTCTAGCACTCCTAATTCCCAGGAAATTTTTAATCAAAAACTAAAATGACACTACTTTCTTAGTCCATGCAGCCTGCTATAACAAAATACCATAAACTTGGTGATTTATATACAACAGAAATTTATTTCTTACAATTCTGGAGGCTGGGAAGTCAAAGATCAAGGTACTGGCAAATCCAGTGTCTGGTGAGGGCCCATTGTTTGCCATCATAGATGGCATCTTCTCATCATGTCCTCACATGGTGGAAGCAGTGAGGGGTCTTGCTTCAGCCACTTTATAAGAACATTAATCTCATTCATGAGTGCTCTGCCTTCATGACCTAACTACTTCCCAAAGGTTCTACCTTCTAATACCATCACCTTGGGGGTTAGGTTTCAACATAAGAATTTTGGAGGAACAGAAACATTTGGGCCATGGCAATACCTCAAATAGCAAAATGTCCAGTCTTAACTGTATTTCTGCAAATCTTAGCTGGTTGGGGCCTAGAGGCTCCCCTTAGCTCCATTCCAGATGCACTGTCCTGGTTACCAGGGTCTGGTTTGAACAGCAGCACAATCACTGCTGAAGATTAATGGCTGTGGGTAAATTAGCACAAGCCCATTAGCTGAAAGTTAACAGCTTATTGAATACCAGGACAGCAGCACTGATCAAATATTTATGGTCAGTATTTATTATGCACAACACTTAACCGCTCTGTGTTGATGTGATGATCCACATTGCTAAATAATGTGTAAAAACTAGAAGCAGAGCAAGAAGTAGAGGACATACAGTGGTGAGGTTCAGAGTGTGGCCAGGAAGTGGGACAGATCTGAGCTAGAGCCCTGGCTCTGCCAGTTGCACCAACCATGTTTCCTGAACTATAAACTCTTTGAGGTCAGGAGTCCTTAGCCACCTCTGCCCTTCTTGGCAAGAACGCACATCACTCAGCATGATAGCCTGGGCACATTTGGAACTTCCCAAACCCTGTGTCTGACAGTTGACTGACCATCAGCATCAGAACTGCAGAAGATCTGTGGAGGTATTCACTGGCATCACCAGACAGAGGTACCAGGAGCTCTTTCAGCTGAGGTTTCCCAAGCAAAGATTAACTTAGCAACAGGAGGACTAATCCAACAATCACAGGCAGTGCCTGTGATAGACCTGGCTGGGGGCACTGCCTGTGATTGTTGACCCTGCCTTGGTGGTTTAGCTGAGATGGCAGCCCCAGAGTTATAACTTATTTTCTGAAGACATCAAGAAGAGAAAGACTTGGGTTGCCCTGGGTTTTGCTGGAGAATTGGATTCGTGACACCTTCCAGAATGATTCAGAGCACCACTGGGTGAAATCAGTGGGATCAGCTTTATTAATTCTTAAGTCAGAGAGCCTGGTCAGGATGCAGATGACAGGGCTTTCTGAAAAGCTATTCCCTGCAGAGAATCACCTGTTCTTTGCTCAAAGGATTTCTGAGCCACAGAATCCTAACCCCAGTTGTTCCCAGCCCCAACCACAGGAATTAATCCTTGATATCAGACTCTGGATACATGAAGAGTACAGTTCAGCCTCTGTTCTGCCTTCCGGTTCCCTTCACTGTATGGACTCCTTGGAAAAGATCTGGCTAAGAAAAGCAAAGATAAATTTTATGTTCTGTACCTGCATATCATTTCCTTAAGTACATTATGGTGGGCTGGCTGAGCTTGGGAAAATATTGAATGATACTGTGGTATTTGATGTTCCCCTTTATAAAGACCTAACATTTCAATAGACTATGTTTTACAAACACCAATGGGAAAGGGATAAATCAAAGTCAGGATTTGGTGTGTTTCAGCCCTCGTCAATAACAGTTAAATTGTGAAGTGCTTTGAACTTGGTTGAATATTCAGACTGCATATTAAGTAGATGGTTGTAGATTGTCTTTTTAAAAGCTGTTGATTTTTGATACTTCATGAGATGCCAGTTGACTACTTACAACTCAAGAGTGTTGCTTCTCCTGGATAGCTGGTAATCCCAGCTGTTCCTAGAGTAATTCACTCACTCTGCCTGTGCATTGGTTTTTTCATTTGTTCCTTCAGTGTGATGAAAGAACACCACACAGCACTCTCTCCCACCTGGATGCATACACCAGCAAAGCTCTCATAAGGAAGAGTAACAAATGAAATGTCCCATGAATGATTTGCGAAAATGTTGCACATTTAAAGGTGTCACTGTAATTAGTAATGGTGATCAGCCACAGAGAGTAGAATCTTGGTGCTGCTTCTCATTGTGGACGTGGAGATGGAGCAGCACAGTGAAATCCCCTGCTAATACCTGCCGTTAAAGTCTTACTTTTCTCATTCTTCTCTCTGCTTAGCTTGCCATGAAGCACAAATGTTGAGAAACTGCCTATTCTGGTGACCCTTCTTAAGAGAAGCCGAAGAGTTTGTTCAGCAGTTTTTACAAGAATTCCAGACCTCTGCTTGCTTCTTGTTTCTCAATATGTGGACACTTAGAGTGGTTTTTGTTTTTTCTTTTCGGATGTTAATGTGAAAGAAAGGGTGTTGCATTTATACATTTCCCTAATGATCTTGCTAATAAATGCTACAACAGCATCAGCTTCATTTTGGGTTTTCTTCCCCCCACTGTGTATATGTATGTATGTGTATGTTTTGAATATGTTTTCTTTATTAAAAAATATTTTTTGTAGTTTGAATATGAAATTTGGACCAAATGATAAACTGAGCTAGGTCTAAACTGGCAATATGTGTTTTTTTTCTCTGATAGTAAGCAGGAAGGTGTTTTAATGTGGTGACATCAGATGTTATTTTTCCTAGATGAAAGTAAAAGTCAAGCAGTGATTAGTTTCACTCACTGTCCTAGCTACACTTAATTTGAAGATTAAAATTCTACATTGTGGAAAATAATTGGATTTATCGGGGAAAACAGCAGTCTTAGATTTTGCTCCTTGCATAGTAATCTTTTGCGTGAACCATCACCAGCATTTAAAAAAAAAAAAAAAAAAAACAGAATCACAGATAGAAATCTCCTTCCTGAGTTACAGTTTAAATACTCCTGCTGCTTGTTTCCAGGATGTTTATTTGGAATTGTCATATGAAGGATAAAAATTTGAGAGTGAAAGCCTAAAGAAAAGCCTACCTAAAACCTGTGTATTCACAGATGTTTCTCTTGTCATCATCACAGTGATGGTCACTGGTATGGAAAAGTGCTTATATTTTTATCAAAAATTGGTTTGTCCAGATAAAGGTCTGTGTCAGTGATCATGTGAAAATATACTACATTTAAAATATTTGTCTTGTCTTTTTACAGTCATGCCTTTTTTAGAGACACCCTCATAATGTCCTTGGGAAAGGGCCTTTAGTTTCTTGGTATCTGGATTTTGGAGGTTTTGATGTTGTTTTTGCTATTTATTTAATGTATTTTAACATGTGAGTTTCTTGACAAATTGCATTTCATGGCAATTGCACCTTGCCTGGTCTGATATAAAACACCACTGTCACAAAGCCTTTACATTGCAGTCAGTTTCAATACAGCTGTTCACACACCTCTTGATTTTCTATTACTCAAGATAATAAGGGACTTAGAGTCTAGAAGTTTTGTTTTCTAAAGGGTTAAAATGCTGAACATAAAAAAGCTGTGCTTTTTTTATGAAACAAGGAGACAAGCTGCACATCCCAGACACATTGTAAGCCTACCACTGCAGCACATTGATTTTTAAACTGCCTGAATCTTGAGGACCCCTGTCTATTCCATCCTTTTCATTTTGCCAATTGAGTCTATGTGTATTGCAGCCTCTTACATAGGAGCATAAGGTGACTTTTGGATTGTTAATACTGATTTAAATAGCTTAAGTTCTCCTTAAAAAAAAAAAAAAAATAAAAAAAAAAAAAAAAAGCATTCCCAGTGAGAGAGAAAGTGTGTCTATTAGGGGAAAAAAATATTAGACAGTTCACATTAAAAGGGAGATGAGATTTGTCAGAGACAAATTTCAGAATCCTTTTAGATGATCCAATTCAAGAAAACTCTCTATAAAATTTAATAAACTACATAAATTAACTATAATATTTTATACTTTTTGTGTCTTAAAAGTTTAAAGAAGCGAGGAACATGACATTTGGTGAGTACCATTGGAAGCTATTTTAATTTCTACAAAAAGCTCCAAATATCACTCTAAATAGATGTTGTTTGCAGACTTCAGAATACACACACACACACACACACACACACACACACACACACACACACACACACACACACAGATGTATTTGTCTTTCCAAATTGGATTCTGGTTTCAGAGATAGAGAGTTGGCATAAATAATTGAAAGGATAAATCTAAAACACCCTGACAATCGGCCAAATTCAAGAACAGAATTGGTTGCCAACTCTAACAACAGTGTTTGGGGAGCTGTTTCTAAAGTAGCTGAGGATGAGGTCATAATCATACTGTCAAACCGAAGATTCTTCCTCCCTGGTAGAATTATGATAGTTACTCTTGATAAATATAAGTATTCCATGTCTTAACCTCTTTCTTCACTCTCTGTTTATCCTTTTAGACCTAAGTCTCACTGGAAATAGCCTGAATTAGAAGAAAGCCCATCTGAATCTTTATTAGCCTCCTCTAATGATTAATTTCCAGACCATGTTCATACCTCTGACCTCTCAGTGTCAAAGTCCTACCTAGGCCTCCCCACAGCAGAGAGGGCTGTAGCAGCAGTCCCTTCCCCTCCTCCACCTCCCAGCCTCTTGCAGAGGAGCCCAGTGATAACACATGTGAAGTTCTTTGCTATCCTTTTGTAGAAGGTGCTGCAGTATAAAATATTAATACAGTCTAACTTAGACACAATTGCTCAAATAACTCTCATCATTTGGGACCAGTTTGTTTGGTTGAGCTTGCCTGAAGACTTTTCATTTGTTTCATTTCTGCACTTCTCTATGAATTTTGGGATACTATATTTCTGTGAAGGACTTACCAAATTGTATGGACAACTCATAAAGGAAAGAAACTTTCCAGTATTACCACTTCTTCATGGAATATAGCTGTAGTATTTCTCACTAGTTTTATTAGATACCTGTGTACAGAAAGTATGCAGTTATTCAGGTTAATGTTTCATATTAAAGAATGTATTTGTAAAATGTAACACAATCAGTAGTTACCTTTTTTCCAGCTCTGAAGAAGTTCAGAGTATGTGTTAGACTTAAATTACAGTGACATCTGTTTTAATACTACGTTTGTGGCTAGCAAAGGTTGTGCATCTATTTAAAATTATTTACAGGATGCCCTAAATAAGGGGCATTAAAGATAGGTTTCGCTCTTAATTTTAGAAATTGTAACACTGCTGATGTCTGTCATACAGTTATTAATTCTTCAGAAGTTCTGTAAGATGTCAAATATAATTTTTGTTTAATTAAGAGATAAGTAACACCTGCTCTATTGATTCACTATTACAGCAAACCCTAATTTTGTCATTAAATATTTTAACTCTGTGATCAAAGTTTGTTTCTTGCAGTTATTTATGAAATCCATAAAACACTACAAAATAAGTACGTGTCACCACATTTTTTATGCTAATGGGAAACTCTTCTGTGCCTAAGGGGAAACCTCAAAACTAATATTAGCATGCTGATAAAGTGTCATTATGTATGTTCTAATGGAAAAGCTTGGAATGTAATAAAGACTAAAGAGCTAACCTTAATTTAGACAATGGACAGCTATTCAGCAAGTTTTTTTTTTTTTTCCTTTTCCTAGGTGAAGCAATCAAGCTGATCAATAATTACCTTTCTGCTGATATTAGTGATATGCTCCATTCGAGTTCATATTATAGCATGTGCCCTCATTCAGCAGACTAGTTGCATGTCCTGTTAAATTGGAAAGATGGTTTGTTTGTATCATGTCCACTTATTGTTATGAAAAAGCAAATGCAGTGTATTGCATCGCCCCATTTGTTTTCAAGGGAAGTGGTTTGGGTGACTACTGCAGCAGAACAGCTGTCTCTGGGTTGGCATGGAAGCTCGGTAAAGCAAGAGGGATTGGAGATATTTCCTGGAAGGAGTGCAGGTGGAAACGAAAGACCTGCATTCTTCACTTTTCAGAGAAGAACGAGTAAAGATATGGTTTGGGTAGATAGATGAGGACCCAGCCTTAAGTTAATTACGCATGTAAAGGCACCTGCTCTCGTGAACTAAATTATAAGCCAATTGCCTTGCAAAAATTATCCTTTTTTAATATAATTTGTATTTGCGATTATACCACAAACAACTCTCAAATTTTATGGGAGGATTAATATAAAAAATCAGTGGTGCCTTTCCCCTGTGTCAATGAGAACATGCTTAGGAAAAACAATTGACTTATTATCATCATCATCTGCCTAAGCAAGCAGATAGGGGCAGATGTGAGGGAATGGAAGAGGAGGGGCAGTGGAAAATTCCAGAAATAAATTTCAAGATGCAAATGTCTGAGTATTGTTTTCTGTTGCTACCCATTCTGTGTGCCTTTTGCACTGGCATAGGCTAGCTTGGGTGGTAGCCGGATGTACATATGCATGTTCACGAAGCATGCGTGGCAGGCGTCGAGAAGAGAGCTATGTGCTGCCCCTGCATAGTCTCCTGAGTCATTTCATGCCACCTTCCTGCCTATCTGGGCATGGGTAGGCAGGGGACAGTACTTCCAAACATCAGTGAAACTGTGGCAGTGCCACAGGTGGAGCATTATCAGAGCATGAAGATGAGCAAAGATATAAGAGACATGGAAAAAGGACATATCCCACCCACAAGGGAAGTCTCACTTTATTTCTCTAAATGTGACTCTGCTAACAGTCCTCTTTAGTGAGATGGCGCAAAGGGTGGATTTTCTTGTGGTTTGCTTTCTTAAAATCTAGAATTTACATCCAAAATTATTTTGTATAACCATGCCAACCTGATGCTAAATTTTTCTTCATTTGTACCTTCACCCCAGTTTTTTGAACAGTCTCCTTTCTCCTGCCCATGTCCTTCCCCTTGTTTCCTGGCCAATCTTAAATCCTGCTTTAGCGCTCCCTAAGGCATTATCCATAAATAAAGTGTTGGTTTACAGTGGCTTCTTAGAGCAGTTTCTCTACCCTGGCTGCCTGTCACAACCAAATGGGGAGCTTTTAGAAATATACACATTTTACTCCCAAATTTGCATGTTGATGATCGTGTGTGTTCTCTAAAGAAAAAAGAAAAAAAAAAAAAAGACTCCAGCAGGCCTGGGATGATGGGGCACCTGGCTTCCCCAGATGTTTACTAGATTTTAAACCAGCAAAGTAAAGCTGTGGAGGGCCAGGTTCATGCCTGTAATCCCAGCACTTTGAGAGGCTGGGGTAAACAGATCACTCGAGCCCCGCAGTTCGAGACCAACCTGGTCAACACGGTGAAACCCCATCTCTACACAAAATACAAAATTTAGCCGAGCGTGGTGGTGCACACCGGTAGTCCCAGCTACTAAAGAGGCTAAGGTGGGAGAATCACTTGAACCTGGGATGTTGGGGCTGCAGTGAGCCATGAATGTGCCACTGCACTCCAGCCTGGGTGACAGAGCAAGATCTTGATTCAAAAAAAAAAAAAAATGTTGAGAAAATCAAATATAATGTGCATTTAAGCTCTATTACTACTTCCTACTTTAGCGTAACCTGCCTTGACCTCCATTTTATTTTCTCCGTTAGCCTCATCTGGAACCTAGGATTTCCTGAGTTGTATTTTCACTTCCCACCTCTATCCCTCCTCTAAAGTTTTCTGCCACATTTTCTTCTTTCTGCTGATAAGTCATGATCCTGGGCGTAACAGTGTCTGCTTCTGTGGTCCATCTAACTGGCCACTGACAGATATAATTCAATGAGGTAAAGCTGCCTGGCCTCCTTCAGCCCACAGGGACTAATGGACAGACCTAAGTGATGCTGAATTGGTTGGCAATGAGTATTATTATTGCTTTCACATTTTGCCAATCAGACATTTTAAATGCTACTGATTTT